CCCCGCCCCGTCCAGGTAATTATTGCACTGTCCCTTACTCTTAGAGGGCGTGGAGGCGAGGTGGCGATGGTTAATGCGCTCACCTCCGGATTGAGCGGTCCGGGTTCGAGCCCTGGCCGGGGACATTATGTTGCGTTCTTGGGCAAGACACTTTACTCTCACAGTGCCTCTCTTCACCCAGGTGTATAAATGGGTACTGGCAAGTATAATACTGGGGCTAACCCTGCAATGGACAAGCATCTCATCCAGGGGGGAGTAGAAATACTCCTAGTCGCTTCATGCTACAGAAATTGATGAAGTAAAGTAATCACCTGCAGGTTCAGTGATGCTGACTAACTTGGTTCCAAATCTGTTTACTTTACTTACTTTTGCACATTAATTTTTTTTACCAGATACTGCCGATGCCATCACAGTGGACGATCTTCTTCCAGCTCTGATCTTTTTAATCATCAAATCAGATATTCCAAATTGGTTAGTATAAGAAACTAAGGTACATTCAAGTGATCAATATTTCCTTCAAAGTCCAATACCGGTATTATGGTTGAGGCTTCGAAGGTTTGTGTTTATCAGACTGAACTGATAATGATCCCCGGTGAGAGACTGGTTGCAGACGATGCCTAGTGAAACATGCCCAGAAATGACCACGCCTAGCAACGTTTCCATTAGAATAATCTAAGCGAAGATCAGTTCTTGATTTTACTTCGTCCAACGCGTGCTGCAACGAAAGCCCCGCGAGGCATGTTCGTTTCAAGGGGTTTGAACCAGCCAGTATTTTCGACAAAATGTGCCACTGACAACAAAATTGCAAGACGAGTTGTATGCAGGAAAATTACTTTGTGTAACCCGACTAACAGTACATTTACTTCTAAGTTAATTGAGTTCATTTACTTACTTAACATGTTGTGATTCAGAGCTGCCTTGAGTCAACTGTAGCTTTGTTCTCCACAACCGTAACAAACTTGTTACTTTGCGGGCGAATTCTATCAACAACAGGCAATTTCACCTATAGCATCCTAGAGCAATTTCACCTATAGCATCAGGGGAAAATTAGGCATACTCAGCCGTAATAGGTGTTTCGGGTTACAGCCCTTAATGGCAGCCCTGTGATTCTTTATATGTTTCCTTTCGTGTCTTTGTATTTTAGGCTTGCCAACATTACCTATCTGCATAACTTTCATTTCTCCAAGCGTGGACATAATGAATTCCAGTAAGTGAAAACTGCTGTATGTAACAACTACCCTTGTTATACCAGTTTAAATACCCTATCAACGGAGCATGCAGCGAAGCTATACAGTCGATCAGAGTCTTTCAGCGCCTTTCAGGCTGTACGCGTTCGAATACGGCCTTGCAAACATCGTGCGCTCGTGTTAAACACAATCTTAACTCGAAGGAACTGTGCCTTTCGTTAACGCGTTAGATACATGTTCGTTTTTAAAAGCATTAGCCTTTGTTATTCATAACCAATAACTTTTCTGTGATGCATTTTCTTATGTTGAGCTCAGAAGCACGGTTAGTATAACCAAATTAAGAGGTCAACGGTAAAATTGTGAGACTCGAAAATTCAAATCAAAACACAGTGAAATAAATAAGTGCGTCTAAAAATTCGATTTTCCGAGCTATGTTCTTGTGGTCAAATTGCAAAGGCAAGAAGAATGAACCAATGTATATGGTGATTGTTCCAGTGGTCAATTGAACTTGTTTCGTTCTTGTGCAGGTTCTTTTTGTCTTCAATTGAAGCTGCAGTGGAGCACATCAGAAGAGGTTCTGTTAATGATATTTTAAAAGGTCTTCCACCCGCCAAGGTTAGTATCAAAGTGATTGTTTTTGAACTCAGTTGTACAAATGTAACTAATGACATCACAGGTTTTCTTATGTCTTGTTCTCGGTGGTGTTTCCTTGGCCGTGGAATTCGTCAGCAGTTAAAAAAAAAAAAAAAAAAACGTTCGGCTAGTGTTCAGGAAACTTATAAGACGGATGCTAAGGCGTAGAGACTTGCAGATTTTGAGTAACAATGCTCAGCAATCGCCGAAAATTTTCAGCAGTATTTTTCATGCTTTAATCGTTGCAGAAGTTGTCATCCTCTTGGCTTGTTATGGAGACTGATGGAGCACTCAAAACCACTGCTCTGGAGAAGCTTTTTGAGGTAGTTATCGTAAAAAAGCAATGTGGCGTCGGTAATAGTTAAAGTGTCTACGCAGTGGTTTTTTCTTACGCATATTTATGTAATGTGCCGTTTACAATACACGGTTCCAAATTTTAAAATGTTTAGGGTTAAAATTTACGAATTTCTGGTCCTCAGAGTTGGACTTTAAGGCTAAGCAGAGTTCAAGGCTGTTTTCCTATCCATTCGGTTAACTGGGGAGCAGCGTCGGTGAGGAGCGATCAGCGTGAAGAACGGCGAGTGGGAAAAAAGGAGTAAGGCTTGCCGGGGCTAGGAGGCAAAAGAACTTCTTTTGCTTCGTTGTAATAGCGATTTCCTTTATAAGCCTCGTGACAAATTCCTCTGTTGACTTCAGTTTGCTTCAAATGGAAATGAAGAAGAAGTGGAAAAATTGTTAGCGACTGGAAGTGACCTTGGTTCTCCTGGAGAGAAGTTCTGTCATCCCTTGTGTTTTTGCGACAAATGTGAACAGTTACACAACAGGTAAACAGCCTTCACCAAACTAAGCAGTTTACTTGGGTTTGCGAGAGCCGTCGACAATTTATTTTGTGTTAAATTCTCAATGAAAAAAAAAAGGAAAAAAAAAAAGAAAAAAACCTCAAGAGAGCAGGTAATTAAAAAAACCGTTAGGTTTGGGAAAAATTGAGATGGATTGCGAAACACGAACTTGAAAAATGTAGGATAACTTTTACTCATTCGCCCAACCTTGCCTTTATTTCAAGAGGTTTCTTTTTCGTAATATGTATTTGCAATTTAAGACAAATGTCTTAAGACTTTAGGACTTCTCAATGAAATCGAACGAAACATGTTGGTGATTCATGTTACCAACAGTAATTTCTGATTTCAAACGGGCTCCTCGAGACAAGTACCCCCCTCCCTCCCCCACCGAAAAAAAAAATGTTGCAAACTAAGAGTGATTACTCCAGTGGCGGATCTAGGGGAGGAGCCCGGGGAACCCGGGCCCCCCATTATTTTGTGTAAAACAAAAAAACGCAGAAGGGCGGCAAGCAACCCCCCCCNGGGGGGGAGGGAGAAAGGCAATCAATGAGGTGTCACTCATGGAAAAAAAATGCGTTGAAACTATACGACATCCCCAAAACATTTTCACTAAGGTGGAAACTTAAGAGCCAACTGGTGCAGTAAACTGGAGATAAGCACTGATGGTAAACATTGGGGAAAATAGCGACGGGTGGCAAAGTTGAAGTTGAAAACGTAGGGTTAATCAGCATTGTTTTATTTGAAGGAAACGCCATGATCCGTTTGCTGTGACAGTGTTCTCAAGAGACGACCTTGGACGAACTGTCCTGCATGTGGCAGCTGAATATGGTGAGTAGAAAAGTGTGTAAATTTAACTTCCATGTTGCCATGCGTCTGTTCAGTAATAGATCACAGATGACCTCGCTGAATTGAACTGGGGCTTTCACGGTCAAGACCTCGGGAAGAATTCGACAGTTAACAATAGGCGAGTGAAAACTAGGGATGATGATCGTGTTCTTTAATAATTGACAGGTCATTCTAGCTTGATGTACAGACTGATTAAGAGAGGAGCTGTAGTGAATGCTATGGACTATCACGGCACAACAGCCTTACATCTGGCTTGTCAGCGAGGGCACGGCAGTGCTGCAGTAAGTTCGAAATATTTTTCTTACCCTTATTTTTAGCAGTCCTCGTAACGCCAACCAATTGTAAGAAATCGCCCAACCAATCCGTGTAACTGAAAATAGAGCAAGCAGTGAATTAAATGCCAGGGCTCCAGTTTGTGAACGTAGCTCGCAAAGGAGCGGGAAAAGTCACGTGAACTCCACCACGCTTGGTTTTGTACGTGATCGGCAGGAGGAAAAAAAGAAGGTGTCCATTTTGAATGGTTAAATCAGCTCGCACGTACAGTCGCAAAAAAGCGAGAAAGTTTTTTCATGTGATCCGTCTCCATCGCTCTGGCCAGGTTCTACACCTCACTGGCGGAAATAAGAAACGTCCTCATCCTGTTCTCGCGCCTATGTGGTTTATTTCACCAATAGTTAACAGTAAATATGTACGTTTGTTTAGACCTTTGTTGTTGTTGTTTTCGTCTTTTCAGTTGGTGCTGATGCATTACAAGGCTGATATCAATGCACCAGATAACGATGGAAATACACCGTTACACTTAAGCACCGCTAATGGACATGAAAAGGTAAAGCGAAACGTGTTTTATTTCGTATTGAGCAACAGATCATAGATTTATATCGTCCTTCCTTTTATTGCAAGACTTCATTTTCGCCAAAAGCGATCGTTGGTTAAATTTTTGGTTGAGTCGTTATTCTTTTGAAGCCCAATGCCCTTACGACTAGGAGACCTCAATTACCTTTGATAATGGAGTTGTTCAGTAAAGACCATTTGTTGTTCTTGATGTAGTGTAATTCTGTTTACTGATAACAAACATTCCGGTGCTTTCCATGCAGTGCACAAAGGCACTGGTGTTTTTTGATATGCAAGTCAATGTGATGAAGATAAACGCGGCCAACGAGCAAGGCGACACACCACTTCACTTAGCTTCTCGCTGGGGTTATGGTAAGATTATTTGAGTAGTGCCCATTTGTCGTCACGTTTTTGTAGAGGAAAATTTCCTCTTAACTGGTAGAGCGTATTACTCGGAATTGTTGCAGCTTGCTACAGTTTCACGGTCGTTGATTTGTTAATTTGTTACGATGTTCGATCGCAAGTCAGATTGTAAATAGGTTGGTCCGTGAAAACGGAAGCCAGTCACTCGCTGGCTTTCTCTCTCGCTTACTCGCTTGCCCCGTTCCTCCCTAACTTCCGTGGGTTAATTGTCGTTATTGGTGATATTTTTAGCTGAGCTGGTTCGTCTTTTATTGGAGAAAGGCGCTTCCCTGGAAGCTCGAAACAAAGACAAGGCAACTCCACTGGACAGCTCTCACAACAAACAGGTATCTAGCACCTGGTAATATGTTCCTGTAGTGGTGTTTCTATCTTTAGATTTTAACGTTGATGCGTCGATTTGATATTGATAACCAGGTGACTGAAATACTCCTTGAAGCTATTGCAGCAGCCAGTGAAGAACAAGAGCAGGCACCAATACCTTATTCTGAGCGCAGAGTAAGTACTCGATAGGAAATTATCCTTTTCAGAGACGTTTTCCGTACAATGACTGTTTTCATCCTAACTAAACCCAAGGTGCAGGTATTCCGTGAGCCTGTCAGCGGTACCAAATCACGTGTGATATGCCATTCGCCCTTTTGTCAAGCGCGTAAAGCTGGAAACCACTGCAAAGCGCGGAAAAAGCTTGACACCAGTGCAAAATGCGGGAAAAACAGGAAACAAATGTAAGGTGCGGGAAAAACATGAAACCAGTGCAAAGCGCGGGAAAAACATGAAACTAGTGCAAAGAACGGGAAAAACATGAAACCAGTGAAAAGCGCGGGAAAAGTATGAAACCAGTGCTAAGCGCTGGAAAAACGTGAGACCGGTGCCAATCGCGGGAAGAACACAAAACCAGTGCAAAACGCTGGAAAAAAAAATGGGACTGAGTCAAAGCGCTGGAACAACAGCTACGGAACCATATTTGCAAAGCGACGTAAAACGTGTAACAGAAGGTACGCGCGTAATTCTGTTTTTTTTTTTCATGATATGGTTGTGTATAAACTGATGTTCCCTTCTTTTTCAGTTAACTTAGAATTTAAAAGAACTGACACCCTTTTCTTTCGTGTTGTTGTTCTTGCTCCAGTCCCAGTTGGTCGTGGAAAGTCCACTAATTCAGTCTGATGAATTTCCAAATATTGTTTCACAGGATCAAGAAAGAACCAGGGAGGTGAGACTTACAGTATCATGACATTTTCTACTATATCACTTTATAAATATCAGGAGCTGGTACCTTTCAAAACCAAAGTAAATGTTCAAGTAACTATTTTCCCCTCGCTTACTCCCGTGTCTTATATTTTTCATTCCTAGATTGACCGATTCATTCGTACAATTGCTGACGGCGATGTAGAATTGGTAAGAAATATTTCACTTTGACGGATTTTCTTAGAAATGAGCGTTACTTAAAAGTCATCTCTCAAGACTCTGAAAGTGGCCGGTTCGCTTCTTTCGCCTGCCCTCACCTTCTCTTTTTCTAAACGAATTTGCGCTTCGCGCTCTCTATTCGATAGCCCTCAGTGCTCTTTAAGCTCGACTTTTATGCAAGTCTAACATCTCTCGGACAAGTAGAGAGAGAGAACTCTGCGTTTCGAGAACAAAAGTCCAATCCGTGTAGCATCTGTGATTGGCTTTTATGATAAGAGCCGTTGGCTGTTATGATAAGAGCCAATCACAGACGTGTCTCTCAGGTTTTCAGTAACTAGTGCTCAAGCTACTTGCAAGAAAGTAATATTATATCACGTCAGACTAAATGCTTTGTTGTATGTCTTTTTCTGTCAGGTTCGATATAAACTCGGTCTGAGTGACGACGAAGAAGACGAGATAGATTCACCCGATCAGCCTCGCTCGGACCAAGACCTCTGTCATCCGTTATGCCAGTGTGAAAAATGCATCAAGTGGCAGAAGGTATGTCACGTTACAGCACGCCGCGCGAAGTATCAGCTGGTTAAAAAGTACGCGAATGGTTTACCATACATCTGGACTTAATGCGCGAGCGAATCAAGGTGACTTGAAGGCAGTTCCTGTTACTGAGGAACGGATTGGCCTAAGAGCTCATCAATGTGCATCTTGAAAAGTTTAGCCTAAATTATTCAAGTTCGTCGTTTGTAATCCGTGTCAATTTTCTCCATCCTTAACCATCCTTGTTCTTTGTGGTTTATTATTATATCTTTGGTGTTTTTTCATCTAAATAAACTACTATTTTCAGGTTTTCTTCAATTGAAAAAGGTAATCAGTTTATACGTGGACAAAATAACTCGAAATACCGTGACTGAGCTCCTTTAAAATGACAAGCAGTATTGGTGTCACAGGGTACGTTCCCCTATTTTGTCAGGGGGGGGGGGGATTTAAAGAAAGTCCTTGACAGGCTGACACAGACTCACGTGAAACTCTGTTCGTGTACAAAACACTTATCTTCATTGTGAATGTTTCAGAGATCGCGAGAAGCAGCAGAGAAGATCATTCATCCTAATGTTAGGAATGGCGAGGGAAATACGCCGCTTCATATCGCGGCCGTCAGAGGATACGAAGAGATGACAAACCTGTTGTTACGGAGAGGAGCTCAGACAGATGCCAAGAATTACACTCAGATGCGAGCACCTCTGCATTTTGCTTGTCAGTACAATCATCCAAGGGTATGTTATAGAGTTTAATATCTTAGATTACGATATCTTGGCGAGCAAAGTTAGGAAAGTGAGGACAAGTCCATCTTAGTGATCTACGAAGAGCGAGGGCTCTTTCACATGTCACATCACGGCAGGCATGTTGGTGTTCCAAAACAATCAAACGGCGGCCATGTTGGTGTACCAAACCAATCTTGTGAGAGTTCAACTCTTTTCTCATGTAAAGACTTTCTTTTTTCCAATAAATTTGCAATTGCATGGCTGCTGGTCACGTGAGTGAGAACTCTATAACGTCACAAACGCAGAGATAAGTCATAACATTGTAACAGTCTAATCTCACAGATTTCATTTTAACATTGACGTATTTTATTTGATGTCAGGTGGCCGGCCTTCTGCTAAGTCACCAAGCTAAAGTTAACATCAAGGACTACAAAGGCAACACTCCCCTGCATCTGTGCTGTTTTACTGGACACCTGGATCCTGCCAACGTCCTTATAGGGGTACGGTGAATTGTCTGTTGTCTTAACATCTTGAAGTCTTGCTCTGCGGTACTATTCAAGTTTAAACCTTAAAAGTTACGCATTAAGTGTAGGATGACATTCAGGGCAACTTCACTCATCTAACTTCAGTCATCTCTGTATACTTGTTCAAAGTATAGCATTTCTCTTTTTCATAACATTCAAGTTGATGTTAAACGTAATTGGTGTCAGGCGGGCGAAAGAGACACCAGTCAGGAGCGCGAGAAAACTTGTGGCTGGCAGTGAGAGCGGAATTTTAGAAACTACCTATGTGTTCCATTACTGGTCAGTTATTTAACCGAAGAAACGTCGTTCTTTGGTTGGTTTGAAGTTCTTGCACGCAAAAGTGCTCTTATGCCTATAGTAATAGAAAGCTCGTAGATGGCTGCAGCATTCGACAAGCTTAATCTATTAACAATGTAATTTTCATATTGTGTGATAGCATGGAGCCAACGTTGATGTTACAAATGACCGTGGAAACACTCCTTTGCACGAAGCAGCCAGGTGAAAAAAATTGCTATTTTAGCTCTTGAATTTCTTCATTTCTAACAACACCACTTGGCTTACTTGACTTGGCTTAGCCTAACATTTGCAAACGCACAACTTTGACACGTTGATAGGTTTGATTAAGACGAAACAAATCTTGTTATAAGCTTGCTTCATCATAGTCTAAACACCTTGGTTTTTAATACTGATGGTTATTCACAGTTTTGATTTTCTTTTCTTTTTGTTTAGGTTCAACTTTGTCAAACTTGTTATTTTACTGCTTGAGAATGGCGCATCGGTGACAATGAGGAATCAGCGAGAGCTTACACCATTACAGTATGCTCATGTACGAAAGTTAAATCTACTGAATACAAGTACAATGCGAATACAATCGAATCATCTACTAGCTCCTCTCCGTATTTGTTTAGTGATCTAATTCTTGTGACTATACAATTTGTTTAATCCTTTAACTGATGACGAAATTCGCGTTATGTGAAAATAGATTAGAAGGAGAACCTCCAAAAACTTGCTTCAAGTACAGCAAAAATCCGCATGTAAGAACCTACCTTTTTTGAAGCCTGACAGATTAGATTCTTGTATTTTGAGGTACTTATTGCCAATTTAGGGTAAGTTGATTCTTACTGCTGTAGGGTCTTTTAAGAATCTAAGAATTCATATAGTTGTTAATTACTAGAAAAATAAATAAACTTGGGTTTTGTCCTAAAAAAACCAGTATTTTTTCATATCTGTATTATGATAAGCCTAACACAACTGATTACAGAATATTTATGTAGTGTTGCCTCTATAACAAGAGTTCATAATTTAACTTTAACACACATATAAGAACAAGCTTGATCTTGCTTGGCGAAACAGGTTCCAAATTTTAAGGGTTGAAAATGGCAAATTTCTGCCAGCAGGTTCTCAAACCACTAGGTTCTTACACGCGGATTTTTACTGTAGTAATTAACCGTCTGTTTAACAGTCTAAATGACACAGAACCCTTCACCGCTTGAAAATTTGCGTTAAGGTTTAGTTATGGAGGGAAGTCGCCGCTGTTAGGCCGATAGTTTACGTTTGTCTGTTTTATGGTGTTTTTTCTCGCAGCGTGATGAAGTCATACGTGCTCTGGATCAAGCGGCAGGCATCAGCTTCAATACTCGGACAAAGCGCCTGAGTTACAGCCATTACAGCGCGCAAAAGCCAGGTGAGAAAGGGTTACCACAAGTCAGGAAATGGTCAGGGAATAAAAATTCTTCAAAGTCAGGGACAAGTATAAGGGAATTTTTATTTGGATACAGGGAAAATTGACATAATTTAACACGGCTGATTTAATACCGTTGAAGGCTGAAGAAACATTTGGGCGGAAAGGACGGCTTTTGTGGGGGGCTGTAAATCGCTACTATATCTGACCTTTTTTATTTATTTGGTCAGGAAAATTTCATTTTTATCAGGGAAAAGTCAGGGAATTTTGAAAAGCGATGTCTGTGGCAACCATGTTCCAGAGGCAGCTGGTTTTCAGCTTTTTTTAAAATTTCTTCTAATGAGAATTCCTTATTTTGTGCTTTGTTTAAAATGCAGGTGACAAAGACCCAAACCTCTCTCTACCAAAGAATCGAGCAAACTCAATTCCAGCCTACGTCGGCTCGAACGCTGTGACGAAACAGCCAATTCCCGTGGCCAGTTCTTCTGGTCCTACTTCGACCGTGTCACACACAAATGACCCTGGTGACGGGTCTCTTCCGCCACACGAGAGATTGAACAAACTGTTTGAACGATTGGAAGTAGGCGATATTGAACGGTTACAAGACATCAGCAAAGCTGTGAAGTCTTTTGATAGGTGAGAATCACTGGCCTTGTCACTAGCAAATGCATTCAGTGTTTAGTTTCTTCCCTGAGAGACAGTTGGTCTTCAAGAACGCGTTAAGTGGAGTATTTTGCGGAACGGAACTCTGATCTTGTTAGAACAGAAAAATATCTAAAAATTAAAAATTGCCAGAATCATCGTGAGATTGAACGACAGGTTAACGTTAGCGTTTATGACTGTCGTTTCGAAAGCTCAAAATCGAGACCATGTTACCAGAAATTGTAGTCTTCTAGCATTAAAACCGTTTTTTTGTTTTTTCCTGCAGTTTTCTGTGGAAGTGAACTGTGTTTTTGCATGGATATGATTTTATTTTAAAATGATGGCAGAAGAAGGGAGTTTATGATTTCCTCTCTGTTTCTACTAGGCGAGACACGAGTAGAAAGAGTAGGGGATGAATGAGTTTTAGGGAGTGGCTCAATAATCTGTACCCTTGTTTTTCCTTTTTCAGACGGACATCATTAAGAAGGACTGAAACGATTGATAAAAGTTCTCCAGTCATTGATCTGCACCTTAGACATCAGGTGAGTGTTGGAAAGTTCCTTTACAATCTATGATAAATAACTTTGCCTAATTGGTTTGGACTTGAATTAGACCTCAACAGCTGGGAATTATTAGGATTTATTTTTGCACTCCTTCTGTCTAGAAGTATAGAGTCAAACTGAAAGAAACAAATTACAATTACTTTGAGGCTCTGTGCCGTAATTGTCGTAATTGACTTTGAACTAATACAAACTGAAAATTATGTCATAATTCTACTTACAATTCTTGTAATCTTTTCCCGTCTGTAAACCTTGCGTTTAAGTTATGATACTTTTTCTGTACGGTTTAGTGTCTCTTAATGAAATAACGTTCCCTTTGCGAGATTCGAACCGAGTGATCCCTTTTATATAGGTATGTGTCCCTAGGGACCTTACATAATCCCCGCAAGGACTTATATAACTTCATATTCGTGCAAAACACTAATTATTGATCTTTTTAACTCCAGGACCGTTTCAAAACCTGTTTCTCGAGTAAATACAGCGTTATATAATTCTCTTGTAGGTTTCAACATGATCACACAGTTAACGTCCAAGCACGTTTTTTTTTTTTTCTGCCGGCTTAGGAAGCCACCCTGAAGTTAATAAAAGTTGTTTTCTCTGCTCTATAAATTGCACGGTGATAAGATGTAACTATTCCATGGAAGAAAATGACGATGCACGGTTGTAACGTCCAAGTATGAGTTGCGCATTGTTAGATAACGAAAGTTAGAGGAAATTGTCTAACAGTGATTTTAACTGAAGCTTGTTGATTTTTCTGGGCTGACTTAGACAATGAAATATTTGCAGCAGTAATCGTGAGCGCAATGGCTAGTTACGTTGGGTTTTAGAAACATGCTGTCTTTAAGGGCCCATTAACCGATCCTTTCGAGCCGTTGCTAGGGAAAATTCATTCTCGTATAACCTCCTCATTTTTAGTTACCTCAGAGTTATTTCATGTGTTTTAACTTTTTCTTGATCAGCAACACTAGTGATGACGGCATCAGGCCACGCCCATGGTCATGTGACTAATACAGAAACAATGCAAAGGCTCCCAGGCAAATTACTTTCTCGGGATTTTTTTCATTGATTTAATATTTTAATTTAAATCCTCATTACGCTATGCATCGATTTTGTTTCATTTCTAAAAGGTCAGATTTTGAAGGCATTTCAAAATATTGAAAAATTCGTCATTTTCTGAAAAAAGCATGATTTCGAAAAAGAAATGCATAGCTATGTTGCCAACGTTGGCTTTAATCGAAATTCGTCGAGAAAGGCTGGATTTAATG